AAAAGACCTAAGTCATAAGAAAAAGACATTATGACACTAGCAAATGATAGTTGGGATTCCAAGGTGTCAAATTCAAAGAACAACAACAAAAAAGCAGGGTATAACAAAAACCTAAAATAAAGGAAACTTAGTTAAGAAGATAATGCATCTTGGTATAGGCAAGTGAGATCAAATGAACTGTGTAGTTCATAATGGGGGTGTATATGAGAATCACCTAGGTAGCTTTTTCAAAACATACAAGCCCTGACCCCACCTGTGATCTGCTGAATAGAACTAAAAATGTATCTAAAGCCCAGACATGTTTCTGAAAAAGTCTTCCAAGCAATTGTAACACACCCATGACTAAGAATCACTGCCCTGAAACACAAAGTGGGAAACAAATGCACATATCTATAGAAGCAATCCAAAAAGTAATGTACAGGTATGGGCTGGGTGGTGGATAAACTTGACAGAATTCCCACTACTTGTAACTCCTAAAAAGTTTATCTAAATGCAAGCAAGAGAAGGACATTACTACAGGGATATACTTCAAAAGCACTGATTTATTTGAAAAGTAATTGGCAAATTAATATTTTAACTATCAGGAAATTTCTTAAATGCAGCAAATGATTACAACACACTAATACATCAATAGCACAGTTGAGAATACCTTTTTAGAGGCCACATCAACATCAGAGAAATACTGTACATGAGATTGCCCAAGACCAAAAGTGCTAAAGGAGATAGCACTTTTCCAAATATCACCTCAACTTACTTTGGAGAAAAAGAAAATAAGACCTACCTTTCCCCCTTCAAATCAAATAGCCCAAGTAAATCATGGTGGTGAGCTAAATTTATCATAAGACACAAGTGAAGCTTTGCATTTTTTCCCAAGTATGATCAAAATTTAGAAATACCATTTCTTAATGTAGACAGAACTGGATTCAATTAACAAAGGAGTAAAGACTTAAAGCCAATTACCGTGAAGACAGAAGAAGAGGGCCTCCCTGGTGGACAAGGGGTTAAATCTCAGTACTACTAAGCTATGGCCAGCCACTGCAGCACTAGTGAGATTCCCAGCCTCAGGGATGGCTCAGCAGACCTTTCCTGTCTGGCCCATTGTTCCCCTCAGCAGTGTTTTTCAGTGGATCCCTCTGTTCTGCTCTCCACTCTATCTCTGGTGAATCCTCTTACTTGTACCCCTCTCCCCCTCCCACCTCAGCTCTTATATGCATAAATTAATAAAACTTTTTTAAAGAAAATGCAAACAATGTTTAGTATTACATATCTCTAGTAGTCCCTAGTTACCCAAAGATCTGAGTTCCAAAACAGTTCCCCTAGAAATGAAAACTAACATTTATGGGCATGCATTATCTCATCTGGTCCTGACAAGACACTGCAGTAGTAATTCTCATTTTTATTCCAAAGTGGCAGCCCAGTTCCATCCAGGACTAGTCAGGTTTATTCCAATATATCAGGCTAACTTTCAATTTGGCCTTAAGAATCCAAGAGAGAGGATTTTCAGATGAGTATATGTAAACAACAAGTAAGTAAAGTTGTACTTGATTTTGGCAACAGAGATTCTATTGCTGTAGATTGCACTGCCATGGGAGGAGGGAACTAAGTCTTCAGAAAATGCTTCTAGTGTGAAAATGTAGAGCTATTTAAAATCTGTCCTAGATCATGCAGGTATTTAAGTTAAATATAGGTAGCAGAACCAAAGCATCTCTTGATTAAAACAGACTTAAAAATAAAATTATAGGATACCTATTTAAGTATGAGTTAAATACTTTTCTTAGAATAGGTATATCCCATGCAATTAATTGGGTCATGTGCCTATAATCATTTGCAGAGAATACAGAAGACAGAAAAATGAGAGAAAAGAAAGGAAATTCTGAGTATATTAAACTGCATTTAAGAGATACTATAAACTTCAGATGCTCTACACATACTCCCGATGTTCCTTCTCTTTATGTTTATACCACTGTTATTTCTACATTTTCATGTGTTGCATTTCTGAAACAGCCTTCATGTCATGTGTAGTCTTTTATTTAAAGTCATTTGTGGGTGTCCCTGGTGGCACAAAGGATTAAGTCTCAGTACTATCAAGCATTCCCCAGCCACTGCAGCAGGAGTTGATCTCTAACCAGGGAGCTGACCCACATGGCACAGAAAGACCTCTCCAGTCTGGCCCACTGCTCCTCTCAGCACTGTATTTCAGTAGATCTGTCTATTCTATTTCCCACTCTGTCTCTGGTGAATCCTTTCTACCCCCACCCCTCTACCTCTGGCTTACACCCCAGTTCTTGTATGCATAAATGAATAAAAGTAAATCTTTTTAAAGAAGTCATTTGCTTTAACTATCACCTAACTATTTCAGCTATTTATTAAAGATTAAGTTGCATCATACAACAAGAAAGGGAAAAATCAGTGTATCTTTCCTGAAATTCATACTACAAAATATGGTAAGTAGTATGGCTCACAAAAGCTTTTTCTTTGTGTACCTTCTTTTATATGATATTGCAGAAATATACTAAAGAAAACTAAACAGTTTTCTTTATCTACTGTTTATATACTTTATGTACTGTTTATACTAAACAGTCTAAATTTAAAAACATTTTACCAAAGACAGTATTATTTATTAGTAAAAAGCTATGTATACACATTTTGCACTTTTTATAAAAACAATGAGAAGCTTTAAACTCAGATATATATAAAATGGCTAGTTGTACTTGTATTAAATAGAATAGAATCATAGATAAACAAGAGTAATGATTCTAACTATCTAACTATGCCTATCTTAGATTGGGAACACTTTCTTCTCAATGCTATTCTGATTGTGTCAAAAACTGGAATTAAGGTGACATTAAAAAAATAAATATAAAGACAGTTTAATTAAACCAGAGCTGGGAAATCCTAAATAAGCTGATAATTTACCTGAACAAAATTTAGAATCATATACATATCAAAGTCCCAGTTACTCATGACACTTATATAATTTTGCTTCTGAGATTATGATCTGTTACTCCTACGTTCTAGAGATCACATATTCAACTACACACATCCATTTACATATGACATCCGGTGAGAAATGAAAAAATGGTTTTAAATGCTTGGTAATCAATACAAATACTTTGTATTTTGAGGTTTAATGCCACCTTACAACAAAAGGAACCTAAATTACACAATGATTAAACCAACTGAACAAAGTTTTTTTCTGTTACTCTTTTGGATAAATTTTATTTCAAAGTTGGATGGGAATTTATAATTCACTTAGTGAATCTTTTTCACTAAGGTCTTTACAAGTTTACAACTGACTAAGAAAATACATCCATACTCCTATTAAAATATTTGTGTTTAGTTTTCGATTTACAAATAACTGGCTACATTTTAAAGTCCCATTTTACCACAATTCCAGAAAAGGGAGAAAAACATAAAATTACCCCACAACTTTTCACTCTTTAAATTTTTCCCCCTTCAATTTATGAATCAGTTCTCACAACCGCACAAAATGTAGTGTCATTAACCAAGTTTAAACGGTGTCACATTTTAAAATTAGGTGGGCCTTACAATACTACATAAAAAATAGATTCTTTGCCTCTTCTTTTGTAAGAATCACAAGCATTACATTAATGTAATACATTAACCAAGTATGGTTAAGTTGACAACATAGTGACCGTTTTTAATTTGTAATGCTTACCATTTTTTATTACATACAAAATCTTTCGGATAACCGATAAGCCAACTAGTTTAAAATCATCTGTGCACTTTTAATCTAAAACGTACTTTGAATTCATGAATTAATAAGTCACAGAAGTTTGGAATCAACTGAATGGGTAGAGAGAAAGTTCAAATATTTTAAACTACACTTCTATTTTCATATGAAAACCACAGACAAACTGAAATGAAATGTCATGTGAAACACCCCAATTTCCTTTCGGCTTATGGCAGCCGCTATAGCATTGTTCTGCGCAACCGTGTTCAAAAAAGCCACTTAGGCGCTCTACTTCCTCTTCTCTGCTAAACAGTAGTGTTCCACTGAGGGTCTCCGAATCTGGGAGCTAGGATAGGGCAGGTCAAGCATCAAGTATTAACCTCGTACGACGAAGTTAACGTAGGGTTGAGGGCCTCATTGCCTTTGCTCTCGCAGCTCCCTCTGCCGGGAAAGCGGCCCCAAGAAGCTCACCCAAATCCAGTAAAGGGCCCCCTCGGACACAGCAGCTTACCATAGGTTAGAAGCAGAGCAAAAGCTCGGCTGTCGCGTACCAGACTCCCTCCCTCCCCTCTCGCCCTTTTCTCGGAACATTTCTTTCCCACCAAAGCAAGAGATCCACCCTTTACTGCTGAAACGGACATTTACAGAAGTGTTAGAAAGTGGTTTTCATCCCAGCCCATATTTTAAATCACGGACGTTCTAAAAACCCGCTTTCCCCTTCTCCGCCAAAGGCAAAAACGAAGCCTCCGCTTCTGCTCGGTAAACCAGAAAGTCGGCGCTTATTTCACAATCAAAAATTATCCGCTTCGCTGAGGCCCTATTTCACTGAAGACCTGTTAGAACACCACTGGAAACTTTCAAAGTCGACAACATTTTGTGAACTGTCAGCACAGCGGCTATCACCTCTCCGCACCTGATAAACTAAAAAAGGCAAAACTCTCGAGGTCGCAGGTTCCTCATTCCTGTTCTAACACCTAAAAGCACCATTTCAACAGCAATCGATGTTTAAACACGAGAACGCTTCGTCCTCCTTTATTTAGATTTTTGTTATTTCCCTAATCCTAACCCAGTCGCTGGGAATTTCTAAAGTTCCGGCTACGACAGTGGCATCAAATTACAGAGCGTGACTTTGATTTCGCACGCAAAACCTGAACCTTTTTAAAAAGCTGACAATTTGCCAGGTGAGGCAACTGTACAGCCAGAAGGTGCCACGACCAAATCGGAGCCCCCAAAGCCGCGAACATCAGTATCCGCGACGAGCCTCCCCCACGTCGCCGCCCGCACCGCCGCGCTCGGGGACACTCACCGGAGGCCATGGCGCTGCTCGCCGCTCCGCTCCGCGCGCAGACTGGAGGCCGCCCGAGTCAGTCAGGCGGCCGAGGGACCTCTGCCAGCGGGACCCCCAGTCCCCCTGACCACCTCCAACGCCTCTTCCTCCTCCCCGCCCTCTGGGTTTGCGGCTCACACCTTCCCACCCCCTTAATTCTCGCGCTCTGGGTCACCCAGAGTCGCCCGTCCAGCGCGCAGGAGCCAGAGCCAGGGGGGCGGTGCGCGGCGAGAGCCTGCGCCCGCCGAGCCCCGAAGCTGGCGGCCGGGGATTTCCCGCGCTGACGTATCACCCCCCCCCACCCCCGTCACCACCGCCTTGCTCGCGGGCGGGGTGTCCACGCGCGCCCGCCCCCACGCGGCGGCCCCGCCCCTGCCCCGCCCCTGCGCGCCCCCGCGGGCGCCGCGCGCTGGATACACAGTCTGAATAGCCGGAGCGCGGCACCGTCAGGCGCGCGGAGGACGCCGGGAGCGGGGAGGGCTGGTCTCGTGCGTGCGAGAGCCGCGCCTCTGAGAAATCCCCCTCCTCCGTTGTTCTTACGCGGGTATTTTAAAGTTCAGGAGCTGTGGGCGAGTGCAGCGGCGTCAATACAAAAGCCAGCCTAGATGCGATTGGAGGCGGGCTGGGCGGTGGAGTGGGGCCCGCCCTCGGATAGGCGGGCTCGGCTGCCTGGGGTTTTCGAGGGGTGGTTCCCCTTCCTCAAGATTTCACTAACGCAAGCCTCCGCCCCCGCGCCGGAGGGGGGCACTGCGCGGGCGGTCCGAGGAAGTGAGGAAGCGGCGGGTCTCTGTTCGTTTGCAAAAGGGGACCCCCGGAGCCTCGCTTCCCCACCACCCTATATATCTAAATGTTTGTGATCTGTACGTCCTTAACCTACTAAAGCTATTTAAACTCGAAGCAGAGCGAGCGGATAGCGTCATTACACAGTTTACTCGAGGCTAATGTAGTGGACACTATCCACGGGGACAGGTGGAATGAAGACTTTAGAATATTCGTGGAATGCAGGGTAACTGTTACCTTCACAGGCTGAATGCCTGTGTGTCATTGACAACGTATTATTTGTAATATTATCTTAATTTTATAGGTGAGGCAGCGGGTTTCACACAGGTAATTTGTCCATACTTCAGAATGCTGGTAAAAAGTAAAGCACAGTTTAAACCTAGGATTGTCTGATTCCACCGCTCCACGCCTTATTGTCGAAAGGAATATCAGGCTGTCAAATGGGTGCCCAAAACCCAACTGGGGAAATAATTAAAAACGAAATTCCAGTCAACCCACAAAGTAATGCAACCGTTTTTCTTCAATAAGCATTAAGCCACACTGTGATGCACAAAAGTGATTGCAAAGAATTCTCAGGCCTATGTAGCTAGGCAGATCCAGTCCATTATGTACTTGTCTTTATCCCAAGATAGAAAACAATGGGAATTAGTTCTCGGAGCCCCGAGAGCCTAACATTTAAACTCCCACGGAGACAGGAAGAAGGGGCACCGTTCTCCTTGATGTTCACATTTCAAAGAGATGGCTCTAAGTCCCACATGAAAGACCTTAGGGGGATGCAAAACTGGCGAGAGGCTTACTTAGTTTTTTAAAAGGTGTACCTAAATCTCAAAGAGGGAAAGCATTTACAATTTCGACCTTTCTAAAGGAATTGCTAAATGCAAAGGTTAGCGCTAATGTGCTCTTTGCACTAGAGAATACTAACACAGTTTTAGTCCTATGTGTTTACCATTCCAATACTGAATGTCAGACTGCAAGGGCACATTGAGCACAGATATTTAAGAATCCATTAGGAAGTCAAAGGGCAAATAGGAATGTTTATTTGTTTATATCCCATATATAGAAACAGATCGGTTGTAGATGCTTCTTGAACTTAATAGGGGATAATGTTTGTATATTGAGGAGTTCTGGACCAAATAATCTGTCCCAGTTGCACTAGTACCCTAGACTAGTTCTAAAACTAAACCCCAATTTATGACATCACACGCTGCACCTTATGAGATTTGGCACAACTACAATTTTTCAGTCAATTCATTTTATCTTTTTTTTCAAAAACTCGCCCTTATTTAAATCACCCACTGATAAGATGGCATATCTATATTTATTTCCAAGGTTAGTTTTATTTATCATCTGACTAAGCTATGGATTTATGTTATCTCATTTTTTAAATTTTTTTAATCTTTTCACAATTTTTTTAATTAACTGTGCCCTTTTTCAAAGATCGAGTCCACATCTGAAAAGTAAAATTATTTCACTTGTGCAGGATAAAAACTTTTGGGTTTTTTTTTTGAGATTTTAATTATTCATGCATTCAAGAACTGTGAAGCAGGTCAGAGATGGAGGAGGAGAGTGTGAGAGTGTTCATCAGATACTGTTGGGAACAAATGGCAAATCTACTGAAAGAAATACCCTACTAAGTAGTGGGGGTTGGGAGGAAACAAGATTGTTCCCTGGATGTGGATGGAACTCACACTCCAGTACCTGGCAGTAGCTTGATAAGTGCTGAGACTTTAACCCAGCCTCACCAGGGGACCCTGTGCAGGATAACTTGTGTAAAAAAACAAGGAGGATTACAAGGTTTTATGTAGATGGACTAAAAGCAACAACAAACGTGTGTAGTAATTTTTATTTTGGAGGGGACTTGTGCTGGGGATAAAAAGCTTATTGCTGTAAAGATGATTGTCTGCTAGATGTTAGGCTATAGGAAGAATAGTAATTGGTACTTTTCTTGAAGTGCTTATAGTCTTGACACTATTCATTTCTTTTAACAACTGTTTACTCTACCAGGAGCTCTTAAGGTAGTGACACATACACTAGTAGAATCTCTGCTTTAGTGCAGCTGCGTGCTACATGAAAGATATCAAGTATGTTAGCAAACATGATCACTTAAAATACTGTTATTAAAATATCTTGTTTCTTTATTATTGTAAAGAAACTAAGACAATGAGAATGTTAAGGAAGATGGTATGGTGCAATTACAGTTGTGTAGAGAAAAGCCTGTGATTGATTTGTGATTCTCTTTTTTTTGCAATGTTTACACTGACTAGGCGCAAGAGTGAAAGCAGAGCAGTTGAAAGACTTGCAGTAGTGTGAGAAATAAAAGTGGTTTTGATGTAGTTTTTGGGGGTGAATCTGCAGCATGGAGTCCTTGGGTTTACTCTCAGAAAGATTTCTCCAGAGGTCCTCTTTCAGTTAGTTACATTGGAAGAACAGGTTTATTAGGAAAGGAACAGAAAAGACAAGGACATTTGCATAGATACAAGTGGGCAGAAAGAGCTGCCGAGGAGAAAGGGACAGGCTTGCTGAGAGAGGCCTGCATGGTTGCAGGGGGTGGCGCTGAGGACACTTCTTCTGCTGAGGGAGGTCCGTGAAGAGAAGCCCTGGCATGGAACAGGTTGTGGGAAGGCAGGTGGCTGCTGCCCTGCAGAGGGACAGAGTTGGTGGAAAGAACACCTGCATGGGCTCAGGTGGGCAGGACTGCTGCTCCGTGCAGGTGCAGAGACTGCATTGATAAAGTCCTTTTTTCTTTGGGAGGGGCTCACTCCTTTGTGGAGTGGTCTGTTTTGATTTTGACTAAATGTGTGAAATCAGATCACCAGAGATTCCTCAAGAGGTCCAATTTCTATATGTTTACCCTCAGGTCTGTGCTCTGGACACTCCCTACAGCAAGCAGTCTGATACCTAGTTTGGTCTTATGCCTTATGATAAGGCACTTAGGATCCTGATTTCTGTGGCTGGGTTAATGTTCATGTTAATCCCCTCTGCCTCCACCTGCTTGCCTGAGTCAGGTTTTAGCCTTGTGATGTCTCCTTCAGGTTTCCTATTCTTTTCAATCCGTTTTGACTAGTCTTTTAGCAGAAGAGACGGTGAGACTCGAGGTCAGATTTAGATAGTATAGATATCCAAGACTTATTGATGGGTTGAATGCAGGTGGGAAGGGAAAGGAAAAAAAAAAAAAGAATCAGGGATACCTCTTATTTTCACCTAAGCAATTAGCTAAAAAGGAAGAATTGTGAAGATTTAGATTTAAGAAGGAAAATCAGGAGTTGTGTTTTGAACATATTTGTTGAATATACAGAACTGTGTGTTCAATTCTCAGTTAAAGGAAGAGGTCAGGACTAGAAATAACAAAACCAGTAGTATTTTGTTTAAGACAGTACCACCTGGGCTTCCCTGGTGGCATGGGGCTTTAAAGTCTCAATGCTATCAAGCTGTCTCCAACCATTGCAGCTTGAGTTCGATCCCCAACAGGGAGATGACCCACATGGCACAGCAGACCTTGCCTGCTGCTCCCCTCAGCAGTGTACGTTGTCATTCTGACAGTTCTCCCCACTCTGTCTCTGGTGAATCTTCTCCCCAACCCCCGAACCTCTAACCTGTACCCCACTTCTGTATGCATAAATAAATAAATCTTAAAAAAAAAAAAGACATTACTACCTGAAAAAAGTGTAGGCAGAGATAATTTCTAAAGAGTCCTAGACCCTCTAAATCTTAGAGAACTGGTAAAGGAGAAGGAGCTGATAGTGAATTACGAGGGAAGAAAACTAAGAGATCCTGGTGTCCTACAGAATGTTTTAAAAAGAACAGAAGTGGGCCCTCCCTGGTGATGAAACAGGTTAAAGTGAGAACTATGAAGCTACCCACAGGAGCAGAACAAGCAGATATTGTATTTCTATTGAAATACACTGCTGAGGGCTCTGTTGTGCTTAAAACCATGAATTAGCCTTGGATTCAAACTCTTGGACATGGAGTACAAATCCCATTATAATCTGACCTCCACCTCTTTTATCAGCCTCATCTTCTGTTATCTGTGATGTGTATGTGTGTCTGCCCCAGTTCCTGGCACAGAGAAACTTAATCCCTTAGAATTTCTAGGGTGATAACGGTGCATTTTGATCTAATGAGGTGTCTCGGAGAGGACTCCCAAATTGCTCCTGGATAGGGATATCACGACAGTCTAAGTCATGTTTAGAAGCTTAGAATTTTCAGTCCCAGTCCCCATTCTTCAGAAAGGTGAGAGGCGCTGGCAATGCGGTCAATAATTAGTAATACCAACATGATGAAGCCTTTGAAAAAATTCCAATGGTATGGGGTCCAGAGAGTTTTTGTGTTAGTAAACACATGGAGGAATTGTGAAAATGACTTGCTCTAAGAGGGCATGGAAGCTCCATGCCCCTTCCACATGCCAGTCCTGT